GGAGTCTTTGAGGCCCAGAGTGCCGGGTCAAATCCAGTCGATGGGCTATACACTGAGCTGTCAGAGGTGCAAGCCAGCTTTGCACAGGAACTTGGTGATGCGCGCGCTCGACTGGCGGTAGCTGAAAGCCGAAACAAGGAACTGCTGGAGAGCCTGCAGAAAACCATGCGGGCTCATATGCCTCAGTCATTCAATCGTCCTGCGTCACTGCCTGCTCCTCCGACAGCACTGCCAATGTGCAGAGCTAACAATGTGAAGGGATCAGACACGGAAGGCTTGCTGGCCTCTTCCGAAAGGAAGGCAGACGCAGAGCCAGGACTCCATCCGGCATGGAGTCACCAGAGACAGGAGGCAGAACGGCAATTGTGGGAGATGCATTGCCAGCAACACGATCGTGCGGAACAACTTATGCGCCAGCAGCAAGAACTCCAGCGCCAGCAGTTGCACATGCATCAGCCGGCCTCGCAGAGGCAATCGGAGCTGATGCTGAGCGGCTCGACAACGTCCAGCCGCAGCTTTGGAAGCCAGACTGTACGAGAACTTGGTCGCCTGCCCTCCGCGCCAAACTCGGATTTCGGCGTTGAGACTGAGCCTGGTCCCGGTGAAGCTGTGAGAAGGGCCGCAGAGCGACGGCGGGCACAAGGCAAAGCCACACGCACCCTGGACGATGAGTATGCACGCTTCGTTCAGGAGGCCCACGCTCCGAAGACACTTGTCAAGTCAACACAGTCAGCACGGATTGGGGAACATAAGAGGTTCAAGGAGAGCATGGCAGCTCAAGCACATGCTCACGGAACAGAACCTTATGTGCTTAATGACTTGTGCGCCTGAATTTGCTCGACAGAAAGTCGTCGTAACTTCACGCTGTTTCTTTGCCGCATGTACAGTTTAGCAAGCGCAGGGGTAGCAGCTTGGGCTGCAAGCATTCAGGACAGCGGGGGTGTGTTATGCAGGAGGGGCTTTGGCGTTGACATCCTGCAATGGAACGACAAAAGGTGCTGTCAAGTCTTTGTGTTGGCTGCGACCTGGGCTTTGGTCAAGAAGCTGCAAGGGAGAATGCGGCCGTTGGCGCGTTTGCAATGTCTTGATCGCACAGTCTCATGGTGTCCCTTGGGCCCCTTGGGAGACAGGAGGGGTCGAGAGAGTGCAACCACGCGGTTTATGAGGTCAGCTGCTGCCAAGGAACTTCCTGAGGACGAAGACGGTTGCACGCCCAGACTGCTCCAGTGCAGTGCCTTGGTTGGCAGCTTTTGGCAAGGCAACTTGGTGGATGAGCTCTTGCTGAGCCCCGAAGAGCTTCAGCACAGATTTTTGGAGGACTCAAGTTGCTCTGGATTGGGAAAAGCAGCATGGACAAAGACACGTCAGTCTCGCCAGGATTTGGCTCGGCAGCAAGAAGAGGCAGGGGACGGTTGGCAATCCAGGAAGAGGGCAGAAATTCTGCGATCTGTTTTGCACTACTGCTGATCCCTACCTGTAGGCGGACGCAGCGAAGGAATTAAGAGAGACGCAGGGGAAAAAGGACGATGATCAGGCTGGGGTGTGGGTGAAGGGAAGGCCCTACCCAGATTTGAGTCATTGTGCAGCTGGCATTGTATCTGAGGAGATTCAGGATCTGACTACATCACAGACTATGTACCGCAACATTGCACGCTCGACGCCTTTGCTGCGAGAGGCTTTGCGACTTTTTGCCAGCTGCTAAGTCTGCCCTCAGAGAATGCGGTACAACAAAAAAAGTCTGCTAAGTTTGTGCTGTAGCGACTGTGCGCAGTGGACGCCTGCATGATCGGGCTTCGGCCCTAGGTGCCAGACAGCTGGGATTCGGAAGAAGAGGAAAAGACTGGCCGCAAGCGTCCTGACGCGTGCTCTCCTTAGTTTCCATGGTCGGTGTGCAGAGCTGCTTGTTTTGAAATGCAATCCGCCCAGGATAAAACTTGCATCCTGTTGGGAAATCCTCCAGAAGGCGCTTGACCTTTTGGGTACTGGTTGCATCGACGGCGGGCAGTTCAAATGGGCCATACGGGTTGTCAGTGCGGCTCAAGCACTTCGCAGTTGCATTTACCCAGCACGCTGCCGCTGAGGTACAGTAAGTGGAGTCGAGCGAAGAAGCCATGGGCGAACCAAGGGTCATTTTCCTGCATGGTTTGGAGTCTGGATGTGGTGGGAGGAAACATTGCCTGACTTAGCTTTCCTCCTTACCTTTTTGGTTTTGCTGGTTTTACCTTTCAACCAGCAAAATACTGGAACTGTTTGCAATGGGTCTAAGTCTGGTCAAGGAAACATTGCTTTCTTCAACAGCATTATGAGCACGTCATTTGTGTGGACATGCACATGTCGCTCTTCAATTTGGCAAAGCGGAATGGTATAGCTCGCAATTGCTTGGCACATGCGTTCAGCACTGCACCCTGGAATTTGCTGGCCTGCAGCGTGCAGTTCTCGCTTGATGGCTGCTTGCAGTGCCAAGCTGCAGAGTTGGCAAAGGCGAGTGAGACTGGTGGCGTGCTGGTTGGCAGTTCCTGGGGTGGTGCAGTGGCCGTGCTCGCAATCGCCAAGGGCCTGTGGAAAGGCCCAGCGGTCCTCATAGCTCCAGCTTACGGTGCAGCAGTTGGGCGTTCTGGCTGGCGTGATCCAGCTTATGCCCCGGCTGAGGTGTACGCTTCCATGACCAGGAATCTTGCTGAAGGTAGCTCGGGCCGTGTCATCATCGTACATGGCACGAAAGATGATACAGTACCAATCGCAGATAGCAGAGCCATGGCGCAAGCAACTGGGCTTGAACTGGTTGAGGTGGAGGACGGAGATCATGGCATGAAGTGCTTGCTGGAGGGTACGCACCCGCGACTGAAATCACTGATCGACAAAGCTTGGAGTCACAATGGCGGTTTGCCGCCCTCTAAATATTAAATGGTTCCAAGCCAACACGCAAACGGCGCAAAGCAGCTTCGACCGGCCAACAAATTGGCAATGTGAAGCAAAGCTTCTTCGGGAACGAGGCTGTCTTCAGCGCCCGGTGAACAAGCCTGGAGTTGTACAGTGAAATGCTCTAGTGTTCTGAAAAGACCGTTTTTGAGTTGGGGGGATTGCTTTGCGGTCTACAGCTGCGTCCAGACAAGTCAGGGTTTCGAGCTGGTCATAGGGTTGTCATTGCTGCCGGGTAGTGGTGGCAACAGGATTTCGAGACCGTGCAGGAGGGCGAATTCGTGCGCATCCATGAGGCGTGTTGTGATTCAGGGTTTGTGGATGTTGCTCGGAGCTTTCAAATGGAGTTTTCACACGACTCTGGCAGCCGAAGCGTGAATTCCTGAGCAGGACTTTGAACGGGAAATGGGCACATCAGTCAACAAGATCCAGGTCGGCAACCAGCTCATCCACAATCCACAGGTGTCAGTGGCAATGACTCAGGCCCAAGAGAAAGATCTCAAGGAAAGATTGGACACGCGAATCAAGGCGCTCCAGTGACCGCGCTGAATGACTTTGAACTGCATTTGTTGTGCACAGCGTTCATGCTGCAGGAGGCGGAGGGCAAACTGGACACGGCAAAAGTGCAAGAGTTCAGGTCACTGACAAGGTTCGCTCCTGAATTTGGTGGCATGAACCGGCCATGACAGCTGGCGCAAGCATTGCATAGCTTTTGCTGCGCACAAGGCAGTGCTTGACATAGCGGCCCTTTAGCACGCTTTACTGTTTGAGCCTTTTCGCTTTTAGACTCTTGCGTCTGTTTGGCGTGCAACCAGGGCTCCGAGATTGAGGCTGTAATGTAGCGCGCACTTGCAGTGTTAGCTAGGGATGCAAGCGTGTCTCAGACACCTCGAGTGCGTCCAACTGAAGGGCGCGTCCTCTCTGGCATGCAGTCCGGATTCATGCCGCGTGGCTTCTTTTTGTTCCTGCTTGAGGGCCCTCGCTTCTCAGCAGGCCCACCGCCTGTTGTTTCCTCTTGGCCTGCCAAATTTGACCGTCATGCCACCACATCCGTTTGCCGATGTCAAGACTTGCACTAGGTTTGTTGCGTAGCTTCTGCAGCTCAAAAGAGCCACGCCTGACGTACTGAGCCTTTAGCACGCTTTGAATTTTGAACGCTTTGCTGTTTGAGCCTTTTTGCTTTTAGGCTCTTGCGTAGTAGCACTCCTGCGTCCACATGTGTCAAATCAGCATGCGACATTGATGTTGGCTGACGGTGGGGTTTCGACAAATATCAAGCATGGCTTGGTTGTCAAACAACTCGCCGCTCGCAGTTCAGGTCTGTGATGCAGGCGGCAGAAACTGCCAAAGAAAAGCGGGAAGCTGCCAAGGCAATGCTTGGACATGTTTGCCGTCTTTGGCTAGCTGCCTTGGCCGTTTGTCAGGCTGCACGCATTCACCTGGCGCAGCGAAAGGCACCTCGCGTATCAGATCAGCTTTGCGGGGACGTGCCATGCATCCAAGCTTGTCAGGTACGCGCTCGCCAAGAGGCTTTGAGAAAAGCGCTGGGCGATGAGCCTGCAGAAGCAGCAAGCCGAGCAGACACCTTAGAGACAAGCCTTCTGCCCGGGCCGGATGGGTCAGAGCCTTGCTCCGATCAGGAGCTTTTGCAGCAGCAGCTTCCTGATGCAGAGGTGCGTAGAAGGGGCCCAGATCCTTGCAGAAAGTTGTTTGGCACAATGCGTGCTTGCACCGCGTGCGCAAAGCGTACATACTTGCGGCACCTGTCCTGCCAGGCATTGAAGAAGCTGTCTCCATGTGAGGCTCTTGCGGAGGCAGTGGTGAGCTTGCTTCCATGGTTAGTCTTTGCAAGTGCCATCAGCGGTCAATGCTACCCCTGCAAAGACACGGACTTCGCCTCCCTGACTCACTCAACAGCTCACCAGTCTCCACCCTAGCTGGCTACCAGCACAAACCACGCAACCCTCTTCTACAACCTTCGTCACAACACCGCGCTCGAAGTAGCCCAGTTGACTGCTCAACAGTGGCAACAGCAGGGAGGCCAAATTGTTGCAGCACAGTACCAAGAAGCGCCATGGTTGTCCTTAAGCAAATTGCTTAACATGGGGATGCCTTAGCGCTAAACTGGGCTGGGCTGCCCAGACACTTTTGCTTTGCACATGCCGCATCCTTGCGATGGGCGGCCTGGAGCGAACAAAGGCGGGGCTGGCTGTTGGGCACGCGCACACGCACACACGTGATATATTTGCATTGTGCGAGGCTCTGGCGTGTGGTGCCAATGTAATGCAAGGCAGGAAGTTATCACCAGCGCAGCAGTGTGCGAAGCCTTTGGTGGCGGCCGCTCGGAGATGTGCCGCTGGTCAAGCGAACAACGCTCTTGTCTACCCAGGAGCTGGCTTTGTAAAAGTGCCAAAAGCCCAAAGTGTTCGGCCACCTTTATTCCAGAGAGCGCTTCTTGTCAGGAGGCGTGTGCCATCACCATCGTTTGGCTTGCAAGTCGAGTGCCCTGACGTGCAGACCTCGCCTTCACCTTCTCCTATTGAAGGAGGGCCAAGATGGGGATGCTTGTTTCCCCAAAAACACCTGACTTGATCAGAACGAATGATGTCTTCATTATTGATGCGCTGTTTAGATACGTCTCGAGGGTCCTGACAAACTGGCAGTTGCCCCGCGACAGAGTAACACACAAGACAACATCATTCGAGGAATCTCCTTTCCGGGGACGCTTTTACCCTGGGTTCCATGTTAATTTGCAGATTTTGCAGGGGAGTACTTCAGGATGTTTCTTTTCATCCCTGTCTATGCACAGCCCTTCCCTTCCGGCATGCTTCGCCGGCCGCAACCACGCCTGGCTACACCGGTTGTAATGGTAGTGTTTGTGCGGATGGTAGTAAATTAGGATTTTGCATGATTTTGCCAAACGCTGCTTCTTGTTTGTTCACACTTGCAGTTAACATTTGTAGCCGACATTTCCTCATAGGAACATTTGCAGAGACCATGCCCACCCGGAGTTCAAGAAGATCTCAGGGAGGGATGGAGTGCTTTGCAAATGCTCTCGTAACTTGCAAACCAGAGAGGAATGCAACTCGCAACAAGCCAACTGAGAGTGCTGTTGCCAAACTGATGCTTCCTGGGCAGGTAGGCTGACGCTGGCAACCTGGAATGTGCAATGGCTATTCGATGGTATTGACGATCCTCCACCGGCTCCTCTGATGGACCCTGCCAAGGTGTCAGTCAAAATTCGGGCAGTAGCAGCAATCCTTCGAAAGATTGATGCGGACATAATTCATCTCGCAGAGGTTGAGAACTGCGAAATCCTGTCACGTGTCGCTGAAGAATTGGGTGGATATAGGCCGTTTCTGGTGGCCGGGAGTGACACCCATTTGAGGCAAAATGTAGCACTGCTTTCGCGGCTAGAACCTCAGGCCAAGCTGACGCGCAGCGCGGATCGGGCATCAATTAGCAGTGGTGGCACCACAGGGATAAGCAAGCACTTGATTGCGAATTTTTCGCTTGGAGAGGAAGATTTGATTTTGCTTGGCATGCACTTGAAAGCTCACCCTCACAACCCTCAAGCGTGTGCGCAACGCGAGGGTCAGGCGCAGGTTGCTCAGGAGATTGTAAGACGAGCTTTGCAGCGCGGAAGCCATGTCATCGTACTGGGGGATCTGAATGATTTCGATGCAGACGCCCCTGGTCCAAGTGGAGAGCAACCAACATCTTCGGTGCTGAAGTTGCTCAAAGATGTTGACAGTGATGGATCCACAGATATGTGGAATGTTTTGCAGATGGTAAGTCAGCAGCAACGGTACACTGCCTGGTTCGACAGAAATAAAGATGGTCAATTTCAGTTTGCAAATGAGCGGTCCGTACTGGACCACATTCTTATTTCAGAATCTTTGCGGTCCTCAGTTGAGGCAGTTGGCATTGAGCATGGCCACGACCCCGCAGAAGTCAGCGATCATTGGCCTGTTTGGGTGCGGTTCAATTTTCACGCTTCTCAAGGTGAGGCAGGGGTGGCAGCCGACCGGCATCTTGCAGCCTTGCTCAGCAAGACACCAGGCAACTTTTGCGCTGGCTTGGCCGTCATGGTGCTTTTTGTGGTTCTTGTCGGCCTTCTGATCCGAGAAGTGAGCAGGAGCTGGAAAAAAGGTCACCCATCCTTGCTTTGCAGTTCCCACTCCGAGTCGCTGTCAGATGTCTAAGTCTCCCAGCTCGTGACTGCCAACACTCCCCAGCGCATGTTGCGATCGGCCAGGTTTCTGCAACAGCGGCCAGTTGCTTCAGGGCGCTTCAGGTGGTGGCATTGCGACCTCCCCGGGAAGCTGGCAGGCACCCGCACGCATGTTGGTTTGCTTCGATGCACAGCAGGACTCATAACCTGATAGAGGCCACGAACCGGAACGCAGAGAAAACATGTAAGACACCGAAAAAGATTCCCATAGATGCTAATCTCTTCCCCCTATTAATGAATGACCCCAATTAATAAAAATATGGAAATCCGGGGCCCGGGACCAGATTTCCACTCCGCACAATGGATTTTTAATTGCGCCAATACTAAACCAATACTAAAGTCTTGGAATCCTTATTAGGGGGTCTCTCCCCAAAAGGTTGTCCCTGGTTGTCCCTGACTCCCTGACTCTCTGACCTCTTTTTTTTCGCGCGGCTTCCTGGCTTCCTGCCTGGCTTCCTGCCTGGCTTCCTTATTAAACCGCGGACCTTACAATTCAATCCATTTCCTCCAAATCCTATGTGAACCCTCACATTGTTGGAAAAGAAAAAAAACCCAACCCCAAAAACCCCAATTAAAATAATAATATATTTTTGGGAGGATTTGTTTATAATAGGGGGGGGGGGGGCGTATTTATTAATAGGGGGAAGAGATTACTTCCTCAAAGGCATCCACAATAATACCCCCAAACACTTCCACAACATCTCCAAAAATGTCGCCAAAGACAAACCGTCCAACGACATCGCTTTCAAAAAGCATCAAAGACCACTTTAAAGACACCCCCAAACACCCCTCAAAGACACCCCCAAACACACCCCTGACGCTCCCCAAAACGACACGCCAACGACACCCCGGAATCCCCAAACACGACCACCAACATCGCCAAACGCATACCCAAAACACTCCCAAATCCGCACAGACATCCCCAAGAACACACTCATACACTGCCCCAAGCCCTCAAAAACATCCCCAAACATATTCCCAAAGGCATTCCCTAAAGCCCCCAAACACAAACGAAAAGCACCTCAGCAAAGGCATCTCTGGGCGCACAAACCGCATCAGGATGAGTGCACCATGCGGCTCCTCAATGCCCGTAGTCCGCGACTCGCTGCGAAGCCAAGATTCACACAACCTTTGGTCAGGCCCCGCTGCCTTGGACCGCGAATGAACCCCCCCACTCACGGCTCGTCTCCATCTCATGAGGCGTCTTTCCACTCGAAGTTCGCTTCACGCGGAAATCACATGGCTCGCAAATCGACGGATCCATTTCTGCAATCGGCGTTCATCCCCCTACCCCCTCCACCTAGGCTGATAGCCCCTATCAACTCCCTCATGCAGATTCTTTGAGAGCTGCCAGTTGGGAAAAAACCTGGGTGAGAGTTGCGAGGAGCACGGCCCAAGCTGCGCCAGATGAAGCATGGGAGACTTGGTTACAAAATATGCCTTTCATTGCAAGGGTCGTTGGCAAAGCCTTCCAAGGAGAGCAAGAAGTCAACCCAAGAAAGGGACTTGGTGTTCCGGCCTCAGTTCAGGTAGCTGAACCAAGGCTGCAGGAATGCTTGTCTTTGCCATTCGCAGTCCTGGCAGCGAGGCATGCAACAGCAGAAGCGCTGCCGGAGCTAAAAGCGTGCCTCAAAGCCTTGCAAAGCAGACTCCAAGAGGAAAAGAATAATCCGCCGGGCCCCTGATTGCTATTTCTTGGAAAGCGGATATGTTTGTGCAGTCTGGCCGCGGTAAGCCTTGCTCGGTCTAAGGCCAGACGTGGATCAAAGATTAAGGGTTGTTGCGACAGATGAAGACAAGTGTCCCGGCTTGCAAACCTGCACGGTAAACACGCATTGGTTGGTGCAACGCTTTCAGCAGAGCACATGTGCTGAAAGGATGGGCAAGGAGGACAAGCGTGAGTTCGTCATGTTTGAAGGCAGGAGCGCGACGTACGGATTTCATTGCATGAGGTGGCCACGAACTGCTTGCTGACTCCAGGTCAGCAAGAGTACGACTGGGAGCGAAGCATAAAGCTGAAGATGCAGGATGGGATGATCAAATGTTTTTGGTGGCGTGTGGTGCAATCTGAACGTGTCAACTGGCTCCACACGTACTTGACTTGAAAAGTCTGCGCCGTTTCATCACACACTGCGGTCAAGCACCAATCTCGCAAGTACGGCCTAGCAAAAAGGGTTGCCTGTCTAATCCCAGAATCGCCTAATCTGGGGATACCAGGCGCAGATGCGGCGCCGCGACGTGCACACAAAGGAGTGCCTAGAGCGAGTCACCCGGGCCTTGCACCGGCGATGGCGGCGGCAACGTGACAGGCTAGGCCGCAGGCCATCAATTTTTGTAGCTTTTTAGCGGTCGTGTATTAATTTATTTCTATACATGTGCTTCCTCTATCAATGAAAGCTCAGCTCATTTCCCTTGCTGCGTCAAGCAATTGCGTGTTGTTATCCTTTTCCATTTAGCTCTACCATGAGTGCAGTGTACAATTTGCTGAATGATTTCTTGGACTTCAGGGGCCAGGTTAGGGATTTTTTTCGGGTGGAATTCAATGAATTTAGTGAGTTTGGGGTTAGGTGGGTTTAAACTGGGTTTGTGCGCTTAGTAGGGTGGGCTCAGGGTGTGATGAAAGGGGAGTTTAGGGTGGCTTAGGGTCGGTTCGGTTGAGGGTGGGTTTAGCGTAAGGGTTGCTTTGGGTTTAGGGGGGTAGGTTGAGGGTGGGGCAGGTTTAGGGTCGTCTAGGGTTTAGGGAGGTGTTGGTGTTTGGTTTTGTTTAGGGTTTGTGGGGAGGAGGGGGGGGGGTGTTTTGTTCAAGGGGTAGGTGGTGAAGGGTTATGTGAGTACCCGACAATATTATTGAATGACTGCGGTTGTATTCATATTCGGCGCGACATCACTTGGCTCATAATCTCTAAAACCTATCGAAACCCAGAAAACCGATGGGGGCCTACCCAAGACCGATGCCCCGTAATCAGAGTAAAGACTTGCAATGCTACATTGTTCGTCTCAAACGCCTTTTTGGCGTTTGAAATCTGGTTGAAATCATGGCAGAGTGGACCGTGGAAGAACGCGTCCAACTTGGGCTGGTCAATTTTGGTCGGAGCCTGTGAGAGATGATAGACAGATAGCTGTGATAGAGCTTTTTACACAAATGTCTGTGACAGACAGATGTGACAAGTAGTTCTGACAGAGCCCTTCGCAGACGGCACGCAGACTCGCGCAGACTCGCGCAAGAGCGCGCGTCTCGCGCGAGAGTGCTCGTAACTTGCGCGGCGCTCTGTGGCCGTTCAGCACCGTCGGGGAGTAGTGTAAAATACAAGCAGAGAGACACTACTTAGACAACGCAAGTTCGGGAAACCAAGCACCCACGACTGATGCCCCCGACCAATGCCCTGCAGATGTGTGACCGATGCCCCTACAATTGCCATGTGGCCGATGCGGCTGCTGAAAGCAGCAGCCCGGGCTCCAGCTCGCAAAGAATCGTCAGCGGCGTATACTTTTGCCAGGGCTTGCCTCTAGCAATAAGCTGTTGGCTCGAGCATGCGTTACGAAAGGTGCTCAGCCTTCTTTGGCCTCAAGCGGTTTTACGGAGCTAGCAGCTTGGAAATAACGAGGCCTGCCACCATCGCAGGGCAGCCTCGGTTGGAGCTCACTGAGCTCCCAGACAAGAAGTCATGAAGTCCCCGTACACAGGCGCGCAAGGCGTGCGTGCAAGAAAGCTGCGGGTCCCTGAGGCGCAACTGCGGTTTGCTGGTTTCGCTTCAACTTCAAATTGCAGGAGCAGTTATGTGCTTTCAGTGTTTTCGGCTAACCGGCGTGTACTTCGAACTCTTCAGTTATTGCATGTAGCGAAAACCATGAAAACCGATGGGGCCTACCCAATTTTGCGATGACGACTTCGAGAAGTAAGTAATATTGTCCGACACTCATATGTGGGCGGGGGGGTTAGAGTGAGTTTAAGGTGAGTTTAGTGTGAGTTTAGGATAGATTCAGAGTGGGTCTAGGGCTGACTGCAGGTGACTTTAGGGCGGGTTCATGGGGGGTTGTAGGGTGGGCTTGGAGCTGGTTTAGAGCTGGAGAGAACCCAGCTCCAGCGGAATATAGCTCTCAACCATTACCTTTGATTTTGTTCACGTCGCAGGCCGTCCGTCCAGGATGCCATGGCATTGCGAAATATTGGCCCCTTCACAGGAACCTAAACACTGGCTGTCGCCGGTTTTTTGCTTTTGGCCTGGATGAATGCACAGACACGTCAGGGACAAGGCGCGCAACATGCAGCAGCTGGCGGCACTTGTGACGGCCATTGATGAGACGCAGGTGGTGGTGCTGGTTGAATTGCAGTGTGAGCTTTGTGTGATGGCCAGCGGAGGTTGCATTGGACAAGATTCGAAAGGAGCACTTAGACGCTGTAGAGAAAGAGGCCTGAACCCACGCGAGTGAGAGGGCGCAAGAGAAGATCCTGAACAAGAGAGCGACACCAGGTAGAGGATCTCGAGCGTGAACGCCGGCGGTTGCAAGAGCAGACCCGGGTGCTCATGCGTGCACCTGAGAGGGGTGCTGGGGCTTGCCTTCGTCAGACTGAAACCGTGTCACTGGCATTGGCTGAGGGGTGCAGCACTCGTCGTGCGGCAGGAGAAAGCACGAATCAACAAGGCTCCATGTAAGCAACAAGCGCTGTGCGTCCCGACACCGTTTTGATCAATCAGTTGAATGGGTAGTCCCGACAGTCTCCAGCCACAGACCCCCCCTCCTGCACTTGCACTTTCCACAAACTTTGGAGCGAGCTGGAGGCGTGGTATGCAGAACCACGGGAGAAAAGGGCGCTCACATTCCAGCGGCTTGACAGCAACCACAACCCTTCAGGAAGGCAGGCTCCGTCAAAATCGAGCCTTGTGTGTGTGTGTGTGTGTGAATGTTTTTTTGATTTGACTTTTTGCGTGTTGCCAAGGTCCTTGAAGACTGTTAGAAGACTGCACTCCGATATGATCAGTTTCCCTGTCACGGCAGAGCTGCGCGCTGAGAGCAACACGACGTAATGCTTTGCAGCTTTCAACTGTGTACATCATGGTTGAGCGGATCAAACGCCCAGGTTCAAACAGAAGCATTCTGTGCTTCTGTGACCCCTGCGAGTTGTGAGGGATGGCACTGCTTCATGCATTTTGCCAGGTACTCCCTGCGAATGCTCGAGGGGCGCTTGCGCAAGGATTGCCCTTACGCAAAGGATTCTGACATCCAAGAGGCCGCCAATTGATGCGACAAATAACTGTTGAAAGTTCTGGATGATCTGGAGCTTGAGCGAGGGGCGGGGGTGAGGCGCTTTGAATGGCAAAATGCTTCGCGACTTGCCAGGGCCCCCTGGAGGAGACGCCAGAGCACAAAAAGCAGATGGAGGAGGCTGGCAATCGTAAGAACCGGAAGAAGGTTGCAAGCTGCCCCCACCATGGCAGAAGAAGGCTTTTCCACCCAAGCTGGCGCTGATATCGCAAGTGTTATGACTGCAGTTCTGCGTGCATAGTTCCGAGATTGACGCGGATTTCGAAGAGCAGCTGGCTGCCGACTCTGACGAGCTGCGCGCCATTAGCCGGTCCAAGGTTGGCACCTGCTTGGCGGTTGGATTGTGAGAGGGACTTCCGCTAGGCACAGCGGGCCATGGCCAGAGAGGCTGCCCAAAGACGACAAGCTGCTGAGGCATGGGTTGAGCCGCGTGATGGCTCCTGTTCGCCAGCGTGTGCAGGACATGCTGGCACCAGCGCTCAAGGAGGCGAGCGAAGCATTGCCGGATGCCCAGCAAGCGCCAAGAATCTCGCCACAGCGCCAGTTAAGAAGCATCGGATGCAGTCCCCTCACGTCAGGCGCCGCTGTGAGCGTGCTGCACGGAGAACAGAGATCGCGGAAGATCTTCTGCGCCCATTGGCAGCGCTTTCAGCCCAACTCGGCGCGGAGGCCAGCACCTTTCGTATGTGTAGTATGTGTAGTATGTGTAGTATGTGTGGCAGGTGCGGACTGGAAAGTTGAAGCATGAGCAAGTCACCGCGAATCCTAAGTTTCAAGCAGATTTGTCAGGCGTTCCGACATGAGCAGCTCGAGAAATCAACGCCTGAGCCTGCAACCTTTCATCCAAAGCTCAAGCGGCAGGAGGCGCGCTGCTTGAGGGCGGATTGTGCGAAAGCCAAAATGCCAGTGAAGGGCTTTGCACGTGGAAGGCATCGCTGGCAGCAACACTACAGGTGGTGCAAGGATTGCTGTCCCAGCTGGATGCAGAGCAGGCATATCACAATTGCCGTTTTCTGCCCTGCGTACTGTCAGCCAGGTGTCCCAGATAGCAGCAGCCCCCAGCACACTTGGCAAAGAGCCAGACTGGCAGGCCGCAGCATCATGTGAGAGCTTTCTTTCCCACGTGTGCAGAAGATTTTGCGCAGGATGCCTTGGATAAAGCATCTCAGAAATGGGCAAGTTTTTGTGACTCGCTGGCAAGAAGCAGGATTTCATATAGGCTTGATCGAAAGTGTTTGCATATTTGCTTGCCTTTTCCATGCTTTGAGGCAAAGACTACCCAGCAAATGCTCCCGAAGAGCAAGAGACACCGCGTGGAGACAAAACAATGTCTTCGCAACTGGGCCGAAACAGTTGAGTCACCTCCAAGTATTCGGGAGCAAGTGTTTTCACTGATCCCTCGTCTGCAGGCAAGCATCAGTGGCTAGCACGCTTGCCCTGGATGATTTGGAGGAGCGGAATCTAATCGGCTTACTTTGGCTGGTGCGCTGTCATGCATACTCTGGACTGCTCAAGCTTGCAGCTTGTCATGAATGTTCATCCACACACCCTACGCATAGGGGTGCTCTGGAATTTCTCCTTGGAATATCATCAACTTGGCAAGGCCCCAAAGCAATCACTTTTTGTAGCCGTGCTGTACCGTTGGGCAATGAAGAATTCCATGAGCTTTTGCTTGTTCTTTTCTGGCTTGACACTGGCGTTACTTGACATGGGAGCCTTGCGCGGGAAGTGGAGTTGAAGCGGCCTTGCTGAAAACGGTCTTATAATTGATGTGTTTGTATGAAAGTGGCCGTCACGCCAGTTGAAAGTGAGTCTCTATCCATTTCTTCCACTTCAGTTCGATCCTTTGCTGTTTTGTTGACTAGAACCCTTGACTGCATTTGGTCAAGCTGCCAACCTGGGCTAGGTAAACTGGAGCAAACTAAGGCTGAAAATGACTCAGCAAAGTTTGGATCCTACCCAAAGCATGAATTACACAATATAAAGACTAGCTCGATCAAGCTGCCAAGGGGTTGCCGAGTAGCTCACACGTTCTGATGTGCTAGAAATCCTGCACACCTCGCTTAGTTTCGAGCGTACCTGAATCTCAATGACATTCTGCGCTGGCCGGAAATACGGCCCGAATCAATCGCATGGTTCTTTTGGGCGCCAGTCGCATCTCTGAGTTCTTTGTAGGAACCTTGGACGTGCGGTTCGATGTGCTTCAAGTTGTTTTTTTTGGTGTAGGAGGTGAGAAGGAGGAGACAGGAATATATCTGGTTTTAGCTGGATACGAACCATAAGAGAAGTTTTGTTTGTTTTCCTTGGGTTGTTTTTTGGGAAAATTCAATATCCTATACAAGCACGCGCTTTCATGCATCCCCGTGCCAGAAGTTGCGTGGATTTGTGTGCTCTCGCTTTTTAGGTATTGCCTTTGCTGTTTAGCCTACTATTGCTTCCCATTCGCTATTTCCTACTGTGTCCCATTTGCCTTGCGATTGCTTTCCGGCCACTTCCCATTTACTGTTATGTCCATTTGTAAAAGAAAAGCTGAGTCCCTCCCAGACACGGATTATGCAGTTTCGGGGTTGCCCATGAAATTGGACTTAGCAGCTTAACTTAGATCTTTTGATGGGGTCGCAGCAGGGAAATCCCCTCTGCCTTGCACAAAGCAAACATGTTTGCGGCTGTGTGCAGCCGTGCAGCGTGTAGGAGGATATTGAAGGAACTCCTCCAAGAAAAGGCGCTGCCAAGGCTCCGGGTCAAACTTGTGGCATGGGTCAAAACGGCTCAAACGGCTCAGGCTCCGCCAAAGCGAGTGCCACCGCCGCCGCCCAACCGAAAGGCTCCGGGGTTTGGAGTCAGTCCGAATCGGGAGCTACCAGCCGGAATTTTCACCGTGCGCGGGACAGGCGCCTGCTCGGCCACCTAGCGCTGGCAGCATTCCTCCTTCAAGCCCTGCCGTGGGTTTGCGCCTCAGAGGTTTGCGCTGGCGCATTACCTTTGAACATCTCCCGCCCGGCGTGCTTTGCAAGTCATACCAACCCCAAAAGGACAAGTCTTGGCACAAGGGATCTGTTCTCGTTTTTTGCTTTTCATAGTTTATCAGCTAGTCCTGCCAAGAACGACACCTGTATATTTCAATATGGTGTGGGAGGTGGAAAGTGCAACCACGTTCCTTCCCTCTCAAAAATGGAATATGAGAACGCAGGCGGGGGGGGGGGGGGCGGTGAGGTAGGTTTCCACGGGTTACCCGTTTATTTTCCAGCTTTCGATGCCTGGGAGATTTCTACAGATAGAAACAACTCCCCCCTCCCCGCCCCCTCATCGTTCCATTTCCCGGCGCTGTTGGTATCCATTGGTTTGGCAGTTTCTGCATTGGTTTGCCTTGTGTTGCTTTGTTTTAGGTTTTGTCCGTTGTTGTTTCAAGAATGGGAGAACATGGGGAGTGCAAATTGTAGCTTACCTTGCAAGTAGAAACGCTTTCCCCTCGTTATGTTCCATCCACCATGTGTCGAAGGGGCGCACAGTTGCCGCATAAATGAAATTTCAGGGGGGGGAGGTGGTGGCAGTCATGCTCCCCCAATCCTGCCCCAGGTTCCATTTCCCTTGTAATTCTCATGGTTTTCCAGAAATTGTTGTTGTTTTTGGCGGGGGCTGGGCCTGCTAAGGTTCCAAAGCACAGCCACCCGGCAATGCTGCGACCTCGGCAAACTGTGTTCTGGTGATTTTGTTGCGCAGCTGCTTCAGGACCAGGGCACCAAGAAAGGTGCGGCATTGTTGGAAAAGCTGGATGAGCTCTCAGCAACCATGGACCGTGGCTTGGCAGATCTAGGCAGACACCAGTTTGATTGAATTTCCCACAGCTGGTCCTGAGGTGCGCTGGGCAAGAATGCCTTGAAGTCCACCAACTCTTCATCGGCACTTGGTGGGCGTAGCTTGAAGCCTCCAGGCAGTGTGCCAGAGCGCAAGCGGGTGCGGACTGTTGCTTCGGCCTGGCAGGCATTGGCAAGGGAGCCAAGCGGTGAGGTGAGCCCAGAAGATCAGTCCTCATCATGTAGCTTAAGCAAATTACAGTATCTACATGGCTGCTGGCCTGACACGACACCATCCCAAAGCCAGTCACACACCAACCTGTTGGTTGACATTTAAAGCAGCTTGCAGTCGTTAATTCATCTAAGTTTCACAAGTTTCACGCCCAGCGCACCAGATGCTAGGATGCTCAATGAATTGGATCAACATGTGAACACACATGCCGCAGACATTTGCATATTAGAGATAGTCAGGCGCCTCAGGGTGCATGGAGTCCGCTTGCGTCGTGCCAGTCCGGCCTTGCCGCTGGTACTGTGGACCAAGCGCAATCAGACTAGGGCACAAGTCCAATTGTTTGCTTGTAGTGTGAGTGGCCAGGTTGCATGCCACTCAACGTATAGCTTGTGAGCATTGATCGCAAGAGCATGTATCACAGTTTCACCTCCACAGCCCATGGTAAATCGGCAGATGCGGAAGTAAAAGCGAGGCGATTTTCTTATGTAGATGGGCGCTTCGTGGGTCGATTTGCATGTGCATTTTTTATGCTTCCTCCCTTTCCTGATTCTGAGCCTTACTTCATTGACATTTGGCAGGGCAGCACGCCAGTGCCCTCGGAATTGCTTGCTGCCATCCAGGTGTAGCACCATACGTTTTGTACTGACTTGCTTGCTCGAGCAAACCGGCTTATATCGCCAAAACCTGTTCAATGCGATTCTAACGTTGAGCCAATAGAGCGCTTTCGTTGTGACTCAGTGATGGCTTTGCCTGCAGAGATGCCGGAGCGACAATGTCGGCCACGATAAAGATCACACGAACGACGTATAGCCCCTGGCCCAAGTGCATCGTCACTTGCGGCAGTCGGAGTTTGGTGAGTTGTTTGTGCTGAGGCTATGAATGTCCAGATGGGACAGTAACGCTGAAAACTCTACTTTGCTGCCCGCAGGAGGCGGCTTGACAACACTTGCAACACACATGCACGCACTTTCTGATTCGGTTCCTTGTTGCACGGAGTTTGGCAAGCAACAATCCACCACCACCACCGACGACGGACAACAGCAACAACGGCAAGAACAGCAACAGCAACAACAGACGGCAACAACCGCAACAACCTCCACAACAGCGGCGACGACGACGACGACCACAGCAACAGCAACAGCAACAGCAACAGCAACAGCAGCAGCAGCAGCAACAACAACAACAACAGCAACAGCAACAGCAACATCAACAACAACAACAACAACAACAACAACAACAACAACAACAACAACAACAACAACAACAACAACAACAACAACAACAACAGCAGCAGCACAACAACAACAACAACAACACAACAACAACAACAACAACAACAACAACAACAACAACAACAACAACAACAACAACAACAACAACAGCCAACAACAACAACAACAACAACAACAACAACAACAACAACAACAACAACAACAACAACAACAACAACAACAACAACAACAACAACAACAACAACAACAACAACAACAACAACAACAACAACAACAACAACAACAACAACAACAACAACAACAACAACAACAACAACAACAGCAACAACAGCAACAACAACAACAAACAACCAAACCAACACCAACACCAACACCAACACCAACACCAACACCAACACCAACACCAACACCAACACCAACACAACAACAACAACAACAACAACAACAACAACAACAACAACAACAACAACAACAACAACAACAACAACAACAACAACAACAACAACAAACAACAACAACAACAACAACAACAACAACAACAACAACAACAACAACAACAACAACAACAACAACCACACAACAACAACAACAACAACAACAACAACAACAACAACAACAACAACAACAACAACAACAACAACAACAACAACAACAACAACAACAACAACAACAACAACAACAACAGACAACAACAACAACAACAACAACAACAACAACAACAACAACAACAACAA